TTATTCACAGCCCCCAAAAAGAGAAGAGCTGTAAAATAAGCCGACCTGAACACAGCCTTCTTAATTCGCTCTTTTACTTCTTGCTTAGTTGCATACAAATCCAGTGGCAATTCAAGATGAGGATTTGAGCTAAACTGAATCATTCCCACGCGGACCTAAAAGAGGAGGTTAAAGAGTATGAAAGAAAGGTGCCTTGGAGACATCTACACTTCTGATCAATTTACAGATTTGGGAACACTGAATTATTTTGAGACAAATGCTGTCCTTCACACTGAGCGAGTGGCATTTTAAATGCACTTCTTAAAAGAGAGCATACACCACAGAATTGCTTATATATGTTACATATAAGGTAAACAGAGTCAATGGAAGCCTCTGTTGCAGTTACAGGCAAGTTCAAGATACCTATCCATTTAAAAGATTTAATATCTCGAAGACAGTAATAAGGCTATAAATAACACTTATTATACCAAACCATTTGGGCACCGTGCATGCAATTTTTCCGCTATGAAAAGCAGTCCCCCCACCAGCATTGAGCATATTAGGCAACATAAGGAAGTTATTTTTCCACTGCCTTCTCTAAAAACATTTTCTACATTTGAAAATGCCTAAAAGCATAAATAAACAGTCGGTGATCTGTGCTGAGCAGAATATCCAGAATGTTTCACTTAAGCCTTAGAAGTTTTATGAAATGTGACATGATTGGAGGGGCAAGAGGTACTGAGTTTACATCCCAGAAGAGTTAACAGAAAGAGCAGGGGAAGAAACAACAGAGGATGATATTTAAAAATAACATACTCAAAAACTTGCAAATACATAATGTCTAAATTCAACATTCACCTATGTCTGCACTGCAGTAATTACCTAGTTGCAAGTTGTCAGTCTCTACTCTGACAATGCAAAATCAAATAAAAATCACTTAAAAAAATCATATTCTTTCACCTGAAAGGTTACTTCCTTCCTCAAATCAAATGAAACTGTTTATATCAGTGAAGAGCTGAGAAGCACCATTGAGCCCCATCAACTCATAAACTCATAAACCTTCACTGCACCTTTTTGAATAATATTCTGATGCCATAGTAGCTGCTGTGGGGAGCATTTCACTCAATGTGGTTTCACTGGCCCTTACAAAGAGTGTGAAGCTGCTTCCATCTAAAATGAGACATTCCTGACACTCACCCGGTCTGGCCTGATGTCCAAGGCATC